GAGAGAAGACGATGGGGCATGGAGAAAACTGCATAATGATGAGCTTAAAAATCTGTACTGCTCCCCCAGTATTGTCAGGGTGATTAAGTCGAGAAGAATGAGGTGGGCTGGGCATGTAGCGCACATGGATGGGACAAGAGGTGTGCACCGGGTATTGGTTGGGAAGCCTGAGGGGAAGAGACTGCTGGGGAGACCTAGACGTAGATGGGAGGATAATCTCAGGCAGGATCTATGGGAGATAGGAGTTGAAGAAGACTGGATATTGTTGGCCCAGGACAGGGTCCGGTGGAGGGCTTTGGTTAATTCGGTGATGAACCTTCGGGTTCGGTAAGCCATCTAGTTAGTTAGTTTATATCCATTTTATGGGCATGATATCTGATCTCTGGTCCTGAGGGAAATGGAGTGTTACATTGCATGAAAATGGGGCATTGAAGAAAATATCTGGATTGAATAGAAGCAGTGACATGGAAATTTGGAGCTCTTTACCAAAAATTATCAATGTGATTCAAGTTATTCACAATATGACAACTACATGAAAATTGGCACTACAGAATACTAATGAACACGTAGCAGCAAATTTGTCATCATGAACTAAGCTTCTATGTTCCACACATCTTCCATACAATAAAATAAGGGGGGGGGGGAGGCTACTAGCTTACACCACCAATCTGTTTAGCATTTACTATGGGAGTATGAGTGGAAGAACTCACAACTAAATTGTTTATCCTGACATCCATAATATGCATTTCACATAATCTAATGTAATCTCTTGTTTTGAAAGAAAAAATAAATTATAAGTGCCTGAAAATAAAATGCTAGGAAAACATTTGGACTCAAGAAGGATGAGCCACATGTGCACTTCGGAATATTACAGAATGAAAAACACTTTATACAGGAACCTATGATGAACTGGGCATGTATATAGGATAGGAAGGGCAAGTAATGCATACAAAAAATAACTGAAACTAAAAACCTGGAAGACCAAGAAGGAGATCAGAGGGAAACATTAACATGGCTCTTGCAGATGTCAGTAGGTAAAATGGACTCAGAATTGAATCCAAATGCAGGTCTTGGTATGTGCAATTTTGCATCTTTGGGTTTGCGACCACAGAGTTAGATGTCTGTCATCCATTCAACAAATTACCATCACATATTCTATACACAATCAATTTATAAAAAGTAATAACCAACAACTTGTCGAGCAAAGTTTACACTGACTAGCAGAACACTAGCTTTCTCTCGTTCTGCTGTCAGTTATGTTCAAAAATTTCTACAGCATAAAATTTGGAGTATGATGATGACAATAGTGGCAATGTCAATGGTAAACACAATACTAAGGAAACAAACCATCAGAAATTTGTGTAGTTGCTATGTTTGTACTTCAAAATATCTTTATATGAAACTGCTCAATGTTACTAAAGAGTATGTAATTAACAATAATACCTTGAGAAGATAGCATATGAGACTGCCTGGGCTGTTTCTCAGTGGCAATAATGTGATGAAGATGGTACAGTAATTCTATACCTACATCCCAAAACACTACTTACATCACAATCTTTTAGTGCACTTTCAATAACCGAAATTTAAAAAAAGTAATTTTGCCTTTATTACCTGAACAAACATTACTTCAGAGACAAAGCTGCAGAATCATATAATACATGCAACTGCTCCCACATACAAAGTCTGCAAGTCGACAATGTTGCTAATACTAACAAAAATAAAAAATCAACAGGATAACTCTCTCATTCAAGAGTTATCCAGACATGCACAGGATATAATGGATGTGAGGAGGGGAATTCTCATCTTTAGAATGAAGCAACACAAAACAGAATAAAACAATGATCTATGATCTCAACTGAATTCAGTTGAAAATGTTCAAAATTTACACAGTAAAGCTCTGAATATTTGAGTCAAACTAGGAAAGAAAATCACATAATTCAGTTGACCAGATCAAGGCCAGTCTTCAATTTACATGTAGAATTTGCATTCTCTTAGTCTCATAATAACAACAATAAAGCGTATAAGTCAAACATACCCAATATGTAATGCATATTATATTTCCAATATTCAAACAATATAAAAGCCTTGATCAAACAGAAGTAGATTAAAATGCTATTATTCCCTCCATGATGTGGAACCAATTTTTCTGTTTATTTCAGCAAGAATGACAAAACACTTGAGGCTATTCTCAGGAGAGATTGCTGATAATGAAATATCTTTCTCCTCATGCTCTTTCTCAACTGAGACCTTCTTTTTTCTTTTTCTCTTCAGTTGATGCTGGCCATCTATGTAGTCTCCTTTTCTGTGTTGCTCACCAGGGATGTCACTGGCATTCCGACTCCGCTTTTGCTTTGGATAAAAATACACCATTTAAATTTTAGGGTTTTCTGGATTTTGGATCATTGTGTAGAAGAGATTTAATACAGACAAAATAAACAATAAAATTGTCCAACTTCATCAATAACTGAACTTCTTGCTTTATTCTAATCAATCCTCTGTAATCCTCAGAGCTCATTGTTAACCTTTTGGACATTTTAAAGGGTAAAACTAGTACGCAGTACACAAAACTGAAATGGCAAATCCTACAATATTAAAAACACTGACTAAACATGTGCAAACAAGCAGGCTGTCTTCTACTAGCAGTAAAAAGACTGTTGACAGTAGTGCCACTCACACATGGTGGTGAGTCAAAGAACCACAAAACACCTGTTTCAAACATGACTAGTGTATGAAAAATCCACCATAAAAATTTTTGGGAAAAGATTTTGGGATGTCAGGCATGGGTCCAACAATGTATTCTGAAACGTTTCTATCCTTCTAAACACAATTACCTTTTTTGTTTGTTTTTCATACTCCAGGGCATCATAATAATTTGGTTTTCCTCGCTTCACTCTCTCTGTTCGCCTACGCTTGGTAATACCTTCATCCCGCACTTCTGCTGCTTGTGCTGTAATGACTGCACGCCGAGCAGAAAAAAAATTATGCCCACATGGGCATGCTTTACATGCTACTGGCAGCTGCAAAACATAGCATACCAAGCAAATAAATTCATTATTATTTATGGTCGATTGTAAAAACAATCCTATGCTAAAAAGCTGACAAGTCAAATATATCAAATTATGGAGCAATTGCTCTTTTAACAGGGTTTTCTAAAATATTTAAGAATGTTATGCACCATTTAAACTGCAGTGGCATTTTGTTTAACAAACAGTTGGTTTTACAGAAGACCTATCCACTAAGAAAGCTACATACAGACTCACCTATTTAAAATTATAAGCGCTGAATAACAACATTGATGTGTCAGAATCATGATCATAGTTTTTACAACTTAAAGTAATTTCTTATGGAAGACATTCAAATGTTAGTAAACCATTTACATCATGTAGGATTTGAGGTTTTCATGATGGTGTGAGTTTAGATTGTAGTCTTGAGGGTTTATGCACTATGCAATCCTAAGATTCTACATCAGCATTTCAGAGGAACATGCTGGAGATAACAGGAATAACAGCTAACAGAGCCACAGGAAGAGGATGAGAGATGGAGCCAAATTCATGCACACACTGTTATTATCTAGTTAACTATAACTATATATGACTAAAGAATATATATATATATATATATACTAATGATGAACTGGGAAGGTTGGAATGAAGCAGCTGTTGCCTAATTTAGGGCACTATTTTGGCATTTGCCTTGAGGGACTGTGAAAAACCATGAAAACTGGGGACAGGTGATCTCCAGGCCAAGATTTGAAACATAACCCTCAGAAACACCAAACAACAGTGCTAATGACTAAGCATTGACGTTCTGCATGCAGTCTTTTGACACCTATTTTGTATTCACTACATTTTCAATTGGGTTTCTAAGAATCCTTGTCAACTGATCAATTTTAACGTGGGGTGGGGTCAGAATGTGTTGAGCAAAATCCTATTTTTGATACTTATACCAGGAAAATAAGAACAACTTGCAACCTGTGCTTCCTCCCCATCTTCATAAAATATCATGTAACTAATTTTGACGGAATTCTGGGATCACAGTTGGTGACGGTTCCATCAACAAAGTGAACTTTTTATGAAACTTACATTAAAGGCAATGTTACATTTACTCAAGGAAAATGGTATAGGTCGTATTTATTGCTTAGATTGTTTTTCTAAACATATGACGAAACAAATGGCACTATACAGTCACGTTAACGAGATAACACATTGTACTAACCTGTTGGACACATTTTGGGCAACTTTTTGTAATCATCTTTTTGGGCATTCTGATAACTACATCACTAAAAACAAACCACACCAACCAGGCACAGCCATCGTTCACATTACGTTTTTAAAGCCTACGAAAATTTTAAAAAAGTTATTTCTCTGTTTAAGATACCTTTACCCCAATAAAAAAATTAAAGTTTAAGCCAAAATCCTTTCATCAAAGTACCCTAAACAGATCTTTATGCACTACCTTCTCACAACCTACGTCATAACAGAAACTGCACTAGCTACAGATTGTATTCCTTTTCTCTTTGATATTATTCTATGACAGCCGTAATTTAAAATTCCAATAGTTCCATAGATGAACAATTAGAAGTAAGAACTTATGATTTAGCTACGGATTGTCTGCACTAGAGCTAGCAGACTACTGCGGAGGTCTACCGAAACTTATAAACAAATCACTGACGTTCAAATTTGAAAGGCCAAAGGTGTTTCTGCTTTCATGTTCCCGTCAATGAGTCTAATCAATTGAAACATTATTCATTTTCGATATTGATGAATATTTTAATTCAGACAGACATTTATTTCTTCGACATGAACTTGTGAAATAAAATAAGCTCAGAAGTGGTAATGTCAATGTAAGAACTGGACTATTAAAATAAATGTGCTATAGGTGGCTTGTGGGTGCCGGCGGGTGAAATATTGTGTAAACATGTGGGAACTGAAACTCTGTATTTGAAATATTGACCATTTGTTTACAATAATTATTTGGAAGTATCTACAACAAATTGCGTTACAAATAATAAGCGTGTGACTCTTACTCCTATCATTGTAACCTACATGCTAGTAGTTGGTACCGGAGGTAAAGCTACCGAAGCGCCAAGCTGACCTCTTCCATTTATATCTTGCAGAGATCCGTGCTTTTGCTGCTAAGGCACAAGGGAAACTTTACCATACCAACATTTTAGTATTCTATTTACGTGTGTAATATGTTTTGTTTTTGTTTAGCTTTGTAACCTGTACTTGGCCTTACAAAATCAACTTTGGCATATCACAATGGAAGAGCAAGAAGGGCGAATGGCTGTTGATTCAGATGAACCAATGTCAAATGATGAGAATGATATTATTATCAACGAAGTAGATGGCTTGCCCAATGTTCATCCAAATTACATTGAATTAGAACTTCATCATGATGCTCCTAGACAGAATTTAGATGATGCACGAACTATGGATGAATTGATTCATGATGAAGATCTTCCAACTTCATTGATAGTTACAAATCTAGATGGCTTCATCTTCAAAGATGAGAAAAAAAAAGTAATGTTTTATGTTGTTACTGTAGTTAAAGTGCAAAATATTGTTTGGGCCCCACAATATTCCACAACAGTTTTTGGTCCTGCAGTTTTCCTGCTGTGTTAGGTTTGCTTTGGTTTTACCAAGACTTCTGTGTAGATTTGTGAGCTTGGTTTTAGAAGTTGGCTGGCACAAATCTTAGGGACACTTTTTCAGAATGTACAATTTTTTTACTGTGTTTTTCATTGAGGTATTTAGAATTTTGTATGTAAACTGAATTCAAGTCTGATACTTATTTCAGTAGACATATAAGATGCATCCCTTAGGTCACAACAAATAGGATGGAGTGTCTGATGACAGAATGTCAATACTAAAAGATTGTATTCCTAAGGTCATTCCCAGTTAGAAATATCATGAATAAATTTGATTTTCAGTGGTTGTGGAGAATAACAGAGTCATTTATGTGTCTTGTGGCATCAATAATTTGATTATGTATTTCCTTTTTTCTGTTTACTTTGCATTCATACACCATGTTCTTCATGGGGAGCGAGGTCCAGTGGCCACAGAGGCCATTTCTACGAACTATCATGACTAATATGTTGGCCAAGAAATGGCTCATTTGGGAATTCCATCATATGTCAACTGAAATGTGGAATGCCCTATCACACAGGAAGTGCATTATGTAATCATGTTCTGTCCATAGCTCCATAAATGTTGAGAACGACTCATGTTTGTATGATATTTCTGACTGGGAATGGCCTCATTACTGACATCACAGTCATTGGATATTTGGTATATTACATTAGAAGATATGTAGAAATACAATAGGTACATACAGGAACCCTAAGAATGGAAAATACTAAAGTATGCCTAGTCATATACATAATTACACTCTTAATAATAATTTCTTTGTAATTACAAAATATATTTAGAAATATTTAAATTTATACTCAAAATGTTTATTACCAAATTGATGTAGAAAGTAAATGACTATACATGTAAAGGCTGTACACTTAATTCACTATCTGTATATAATAATATATAAGTACAGGTTATTTTCTCTGCATTGTATATAGACCAGAAACTAATATGTCCCATTCAGTTCCAAGCCCTCCTTGTTTCTTGTATCTTCTCATATGTGTGTCCTAAAGTGAAGTGGAAAATAGTGGTGTTAAAGTATCTACTTGTTTCAGATCATTCTGAATAGAAACTGCATCAGACTGTAGATTGCTTTTCATCAGATTTTAATTAGCCTAACTAATTGTATGGGTATACTGAATTCATTTAAAATTTTGCACTTCTCTTGCAACTGAATAACAGACTTTCTTGAAGTCTGTAAATAGCAGATATGCTGTCCAGTTGAATTTCACAGTGTTTACTAATGCTATACTTTGTTTTTAGAGCTGTAGTTTTTGTCTTACACTTTTCAGAAAGAACTGGAATTACTCTTCACTCAGTTTGGCGAACCAGCTTCATTCCAATTTTTCAGAAGCTTTAGGCGTATGAGGGTGAATTATAATTGCCCAGCTGCTGCTGCTAAGGCTAGAATACACATGCACCAGACACAGTTTGGAGATACTTTAATCAACTGCTACTTTGCACAGGTAAGACAAGAAATCCATTTACAAATGTAAGATTTTCAGTCGTTCACTTCCTAATAATACAGCCTTTCCAAAAAGATGCTCTAGCTTTAATTGTATATATTTACCAAAATACATGACAAATATCATTGTGTTTGATAACACTGAACACACCAGTACTGGAAAACTGAAATTATAGACCATTGACATCCACAACAATTACCTAGTTGGAAATGAAGAGAAATGTTGAAATGGATTTCTGATCATGAAGGCATCAGTAGTAGTTCCTGTGAGATTCTAAGACCAGTAGATTATTCTCACTGGGCTACCATGAACAAGTGTAATTCTGCAAAAAATTACATAAACATGTTGCCATCCAAATGATTATGGCCAAGTGTTAGGGACAAATATTAAACTTTTTATAAAATATGGAACTTTTTATTATAATTACAAATGCACTTCCCCTGATTTGTCTTGCAATTCTAAATGTAAAGTATGGAATAAAAAAGACTTAGACCTACTTCAGAGTCACCACTTACTATCCTATTGGAGAAATTGCATTAATTTTTTTTTATTTATATTTCTGTAGAGCAGCATTTCTCAACCTATGGTATGCAAGCCAATGTTGAGTGGTATGCAAACTAAGTAAGAAAATCAAAAGATAATATTAACATAAATAAGATTTCCCTGAACGCATTTGGTTAGTGGTACATTTAATGTGTTAAATTAGAATTAGTGGTATGCCAGCGAAAAAGGGTGAGAACCCCTGTTCTAGAGGTATATCCATGAGGTGAAACAAATTGCTGCACAATGTTTGAAAATACTGGAAAAATTTGTTGCCATCCTCATTAAGTTATTAAAAAGATGGTAAAATTGTCTGTATTCCATTCTATTTGGCACATATTTCATGCACCCAAATCAGAGTCTCTGATTCTCCAATTAGTAGCGTGCAATAGCTTCATTGGTAGAGTCTGAAGGAGCTTAAAATTGTGCAAGGACCAACACCTTAGTCAAACTGAGCCGAGTGAAACCAGTGTGCATTCTCCTTTGCTGTATTCACTTGCTTAATTTTCAGATTAGTGACAAGATAACTTGCCCATATGCATACCCCTGAGCAAATGCCTTGTTTAATAAGATGTATTCTTTATTCAAGCCTGTTTCACCAGTTGATTTAGAGGACCAACACTTGCAACCACCGGCTCCAGTTAAGCAGTTCTTGATTTCTCCACCAGCATCACCGCCAGTTGGCTGGGAGCCAAGAGATGAAGGAGAACCACTAGTGAATTATGATCTTTTAGCTGCTATAGCAAACTTGACCCCAGGTGTGTATTCAATCCGGAGAGTACTGAAGATGGCTTCATCTGCATTCATATTTTATACAGTGACACCTGTTATCAGTGATAAGGATATGAACTGAATTTCCTGTACTGATTTCAGAATGGAACACATCAGCTGCTGATCTGTTCTGATGATATGAGGAGTTAGTTTTACTTCTGTAGAAACTGAAACTTTCAAAATGATTAAGTTGCTCCACTCACATTATAACTGATATTTCACTTAGGATGTTTATTTATTATGTAATTGAACACATTTAAAAATTCTCTTTTCTTGCGCTAAGTAAATATTCACTTGAATGGTTTGCTGTTCTCTAGCAAGCAACACACTTTGTATCACCATTATAATGCAGAAAAAACTAAACTGTTCAAGCATTAAGAAGCTATTGCAACAAACAGATGTTTAGCAAGGAGACTGGTGATCTGAAAGAAATGCAGAAAATTTAAAGTTGGTCATGTGCCTAGGCATCATACCATGAAGTAATGGGAATGTGTAGGTGCAGCTTCATACATTCTTGAAGAAGGGTACATGTAAAGTTGATCCTATGCCTAGGAATTATACCATAAAGGGATGTAGAAAGTGTGGAGGTAAAGGTTCACACATTCTTAGATTTGGCACTAGTGTAGGCGAGTGGTCAAATGCTTAACCACCAGTACCCTTTGGACAAGAGGTTGGGTGGGCTTCAGAGCTGGTGTGGATATGATGGTCCTGCCCCTGCTAGAAATTGGACCTTGGTCATCTGGCCTATAGTATATCACTTTACTGACTGAGCTGTCCCAGAAGATGGCTGTCTTCAGGTTTGTAGTGCTATGTAGTCTGGCCAAGGACCTCTGAAACATTGGTAAACCTTGACCAGACTACATGGCACTACAGCCCAGAAGACAGCCATCTTTGTATGCACCACTGTGAGAACCACAAATCCTACTGAGCTATCCCAGCTTCACCAAAAGAAACAGAAGTGCAGAGTGAGAAATCAGAAACAAAATTATTTGAATTCACGTGGATGGCTTTATTAGGGGTAAAAGCCCATTACAATTTTTAAACAGTGGATAAGTCATAGAATGAAAGGAGGGGATGAGAGAGTTTATCTTCACTGAAGATACTGTGATTGTTAAATTGGTTTCAGTAGCCAACATTCACCTTCAACTAGTAAATACCATCAAAAAGTTGTAATTTGGAATAAAGCAAATAAATTACTTTTGGGAAACCTCACATATTGTCTTGCTGTCTTTGCATATTTAAATTTCTTATAATGTGCAGAGAATTTGTAATCATCTTTAGGCTGCAAGAAATTCATTTCAGTTAGTTTTGATCTCTGACACATGGCTTGCATTTGAAAGCAGCTTGCCTCTGAATGAGATGCTGCTGAGAATTGTGGAATGTTTTTTAGACATAGACAAATTATCTGCACGCAGTTTGTAAATTGAGGAATTTGAAGTATTTGAAAATGTAACTTTCTGCACACCTAGATTCAACCTTTCATTAAATGAATTAATGTAGGCTTACATTTTATGTTCTTCAGGAGAGCCACATGAATTGCATCCACCATCAGGCAGCCAGCCAGGTATTGTAGTTCATGTTTGTGAGGAATCTGCTGGGACATCCAAAGGCGGAACGCCACTACCAAAAGCTCGAATAATGCAGACAAGGTGCCCAGATCACAACTGAACACTATGAAGATGCTGCCTAATTTGCCAGTTTGTACTTAGGCTTCAGTGTGAATCCTGTAGTTGACATGGGAATGCCAGCTACTGATACTGTACCTTTATCAAAATTGAAATGTTTCAATATTTGAGAAATTGAAAAGAAAGATTAGTAAATTTCATACATTGTAAACAAAATTGGAACAAGTCTTATAAATTTTAGATTCCATTCACAGTTATTAAGGTCAGTGTCAGTGGAAGACAACTGATTTTGAGTTCTCCTTCATATAAGAATTTTGCATCATGTAATGTTTGTTGTGTTTGCTTTTGATTTAGTGCAGCTAATTTATTCTGAAGCATTTGTATAAGATATTTATCCTCATAAAGTGTAGTATGAAGTTTTCTAAATAAAATATTACAGTATTTTAATTTATATTGGCAGTTATCAATAGCAA